AGAAAACTAGCCAGGAAGTGTAAATTAAGCTGAAGTTGAGCATGGCAGAAAGTACTAGTGAAAATTAGAACAGCAAATTTGAGTAAGAATAGAGCAAACCAGTTTTTAATATTCAGTTTCACTGTCTCAGAATTCCAGCAGCTGCTGCAACCTTTGCCAACGTAACACCCTTAAACATGGTCAAGCAGAAGTAGGACCAGGAAGTTAGAAAATGGCCCACATAAAGTTGCTAAATAAATAAAATAAATTATAGCTAGAGGCCATAAGTCTGGAACTCTTGGGGTCTCTGAGAAGTCCTGCCTCCAGATATGTTGAAGCATAGGAGGGCACTCCATGGCCTCTGGGTGGCACGTCCCCCAGCTCCATTTTTCTGCTTCTGAGAGCCCATCTAGATCACACCCCAATTCTGACAGCAAGATTTGGAAAAAAAAAAAAAGTAAAGCCAACAAAAGTAAGATATTCTTCAGTCCAAATAAATGTTAGGGAAGGGAGGCAGTTTGGTGTAGTGGTTAAGGCACTGGGCTAGAAACCGGGAGGCCGTGGGTTCTATTCCCACCTTAGGCATAAAGCCAGCTGGGTGACCTTGGGCCAGTCACTGTCTCTCAACCCTAGGAAGGAGGCAATGGCAAACCACTTCTGAAATCTTGCCAAGAAAACTGCAGGGCTTGTCCAGGCAGTCGCCAGGAGTCAACAGTGATTTGAAGGCCAAAAAAAAAAGAGAGGTAGATCCTGAAGTGCCCATTTTTGCACCTTTTATTCTTTTGGCTTCTAGGAGCTTTTAGCAGGGAGCTAAAAAGAGATTTTCCCTCTTTGTTTTCTCTTAGTCTTGGCTCCGCTTTCCCAGATTGAATGACAGATACTTTTAGGCTTTTTTATTCATTGGCTTTCTACAGGAAAAGTAGAGTATTTCTTTTCTTTTTTTTCCCCACCATAGGGAGAGAAGCTCAGAGATGCAGGTTTTGCACTATGAGCATATAACTTCCTTAACATACTTTATTTGTCCTTTGGGGCCTTAAGCATCTGCCTCTAGATACTCTTAAAAAGCTTGGTTCTCCTCACACACATACGCTATGCTAAATATAGACCTCAGCGAGTGAAGGAACTGGAGGTTCCAACCAGGGTAACCTCAATTTTTTTCCCTGTATGAAAATGAGAAAAAGAGCCTAAACAGTTTTAGCCTGCATCCTCCAGGAAGGTCACCACATTATCATGTTCCCTTCAGTTCCCCTTGATAGTTGATGACAATACTGACAATATCTGTACTGGTCAGAGGATGGTGGTGATGGGACCTGTAGTCCACTACATCTAGAGACCCACATATTCATGGAAGGCTGCATTACAGGAAGACAAGAAAGAAATGCTAGGATAAGCCTATGGATATCAGTCAGCAAGCTTGATTCTGAATAGCTGGGTCAGCAGGTTATTTGCAGCGTTATAGAACAAACCCCATTGCAGTAGAATCCCCAAGCTTGCCATGATACTTATGCCATGTAAGTGAATAGTGATCAACCATGCCAATGCAGAAAGTAAACCTCTTGTCCTGTCTTATTTATAATCTGTTACATACTAAAAAGTGTAGTGAAATGTAAAGTTTAGTCAGGATATAAACATCTAATTCAGGGGATGGAGAAATGTCCCTTGCAGTGCCAGGGCCTTTGACATGTTCAATTGTTTCCCCCATATACATCCTGTCATGTATAATGCTGAGCATTGTGCTAAGTGACAGTACAACCGGTCTCGTATGTATTATAAAAGACATCCATGGAAGACAGCATGGAGTCCTGGAGAGCTAGCTTTTGTTATGAAAGCTAAGTGGGAACGGCGTCCTTTATTTCATCATAGCCGTGTAAAAGGAATACTTGTTCTTGTTTAAATGTTGCTGTGGAAGGCAAAGTGGGATTGGCAGCTGTTCCTTCCTGAACTAGAAATAAAAAATAAAGTCTCATTCCAGATGAATTAACAGGCATGCCCATATAGATTTCTGGGCACTGATATGTAAATCGTTTGCCATTACCTTCTTCTGAGCTTATTCCAATTTCCTAGTCTAGTCTAAAGCCCTGAGAGGTCTCCCATTCATGTACTAAACAGGTCTGATCTTGCTTAATTTTTTGAGATTGACCATGGTTGGATAGATGCTGCCATCTGCTGTTCCTGAAATGGAAATGCCCTGAGATAAATTTCAACTGCTGTTAGTAAGAAAATCCACAAGATGTCCTAAGAGTTTCATAAGAATGCCACCTCAGAGCCACCTTGTTCTTTGAGCTTCTACTGTTTTTTAGCTACCAATCTGAATATCTATTTGGTTATATATAATTCAGTGACTGTGAAACTGTTCAGGTGACAAAGTTACAATAGAGGTAAGGCACTGCAACAGGAATGGGGAACTTCTATAAGTTGAACTACAGTCCAGTATCCTGACCAGTGGCCATGCTGGCTGGCATTGCTGAGGGTTTTATTTCAGCAACATCTGGACATGTACATGTTTCCCACCCCTGCATTAAAATAATAGCTTGGCCATCGTTCCATTAATATCCTTTGATCTGCTAGAAAGCATTTTCTATGTCATCCAGCTAATACAAGTTATTGTTCTGTACTAGCTTCTTTACCCTTCTTCATGGCAAGACCAAACCAACTGATAGCAGTTTCCCATTTTCTATGCTGCTAGCAGAATACTGCTTTAACCTGCTTCTTCACCTTAACTTACCTTGAGGAAAGAAGACATGACAGTCTATCCACCAACAGCTATTATGTGCCAAATTCACCTGTGGTGCCAAACCCTCAGGGCCACTCAGATGACTTTACAGAGTTCAACTAATATATAATTTTCATCAATAGCTTCTCTCATTGTAATGACAAAATGTATCTGTGATATCTTCAGAAAAAAAATACATTTCTTCAGCCCATTAGAAAGAGATGTTTCAAACTGACCCAAGAAGATTCATGTTATGACCATTAGCCAGAGATACTATTTGTTTCAGAGAGAAGCCCTCGTGAACATTTATAGTAGAGTTGAGTCTAATACATGATGTTGGGGTAAAGCAGCTTTGACCCACCATGATAGGGATTTATGCACTGAAGGACTGCATATAGAAATTTCGCACATTCTTGGTGCTTAATGTGTAGTTACTTTTGCTTGAAATAGTGAAAGATGTGCTTGGCAGGGCTCCATTGCTGTCTAGGGTACCTGATGTCATTGTACTTTTGACTCACAATCCATCAAAATCCATATCCTTTCACTTCATTCTGCATTTCATTAACCCTATTCACAACTGATCCTTTCATTTTCCAGTTGTCTTTACAACTCACGCTGTTGCCATCTAAGAATTCTTTCATTTCTTTTTATATCGTCCCTAAATCTCTTCCCGCAGCTATCTACCTTGCAATTATCATCATGATACCAAAAGGCCACTGAATATATCTATGTTGAACTATCAGAAGAAAACTTCAGAAATAATATTTATGCCAGAGCCTTTGATGTTTGAAAGAAGACTATGCTGTATTCTATGAAATTATAGACATTTGATTAATATGACTTCAAATGTATTGCATGGAACTATGTTCTAAAAAAGAGATGCATTAAAATAAGGGAATATGATTGGTCTTATAGAAGACATAAAAGTGAGGTCAGATATGGCCTTGTATTGAAGCCTTCCAAAAGCTCTTTGTGAAAATACTGTAATTTTCTAAATTATTGCTTCTCCCACTTTCCCCAGTTCAATTTTTTTTAATCTATTGTTTCTTAAATATGTGAAGATTTTTGTTTCATTTCTTCTTTTAGGCCACTACATACATGTTGATTCAACCATGTGCTTATAAATATAAGAAACATCTTGTTGATTCAGTCATGCCTGATAAGACATATGCTAATTGAGCCATTGAGAAATTGTGCCACTGAGAGACTGTGGTAACTAGTAGATTTCCCAACATCTGTATGCTTGACACAAGAAACACATAACATTTGCAATGCTTCTGGACAGCTTCTGGCAATACCAGTACAAGGTACATTGCAATATTATTCTGTCCTTGCCTGTGTAATGGAATTTTGTGGGAGGGGGAAAAGGATGAAGACGACGGTTGGAAAATATGGGAATGCAATAAATGGAAATCACTGTCAATTAAAACTTGGAAAATGAAGCAGAGTCCTTGCACAAAAAAGCCTAGCCTGGAAGTGTTGTCAGAGGGACCTTTTCTTCTGATGTGTTTGTGTGCTGCCTTTAATCTTCCTTCTTTAAGCTAAGCATATCCATTTTTTTAACTCCCTCTCTCCTGTGTGTGGGTTGCAATAGATTCGCAGCAGGAAAGAGACTTTTCAGAGGCTTCCCTGCTAGTATTTGCGTCATCTGCTGATACTGCCAGCTTTTTATGGACAGAGGATTAGCACAGATGGTTCCATCGACTTGCCAGAGGAAAGTCTGCCTTTGGGTACTGCATCCCAAGCTCTTGTTACAGCTCGAAAGAAGAATAAAAGCAACCATGGTCCCAAAGCAGCAAGAAATTTACACTATGCTAAAGCTGTCATGCAACTTCTAGTATCTTCTTTCACTCCTAACATGTTTTGCTTAACACAGGCTGAGATTGCAACGTACTAAATACTATCATTCTGTCAGGCCAAGTGGCTTCTACATGTGCAATTTTATAAGACCAACTACTGTTGCCTAAGAAAATTAAAAGGTGTTCTGATGTCAGCATCACAGTTACAAGAAGTATATTTTTTAACTTTCTTGTAAGCTATGTTTACTCTTGTGTAGCAGCATCTGGCCAGTCTTCTCTGAGCTTTGTATCTAAAGCAGGATTAGGACAGGCGATCATCAGAGAATTTCAAGGTAAACTAGACTGGGAAGCTGAAAAAATACCCTTGAAGAAGGCAGTGGCAATTCACTTCAGTACTGTTACTGAGAAAAATGCATGGATATGTCTTTGAAATGATGAGTTGCTGGGCTTGGCCTGGAGGACACTTTAGGTTTTAATGTTTGCTTCTAGTGGTTTGGATATTTCTGAAGCCCATTTTATACTCTATCCACAAACCAGATAAAGTAAGCAAGTTTAAGCCCCATTTCTTCCAGTAAGGGTAAATTTAAGCTTACATTTAATTATGCATATAAAACCAAGCCAGTTTTGCTGGAACAGAGTTGGACTGTAACATGGATTTTTTAAAATCTAGTTTTGTTTTCTGTACACTCTCAAGGAACATCTTTATAACACAGGAAAAAAAGGACAAGCTTCCAATTTTTTTAAAGCCAAAAATTATGATGTGCTCTCATCTCTTGCTAATTTGCAAATTTTATGTAATATGCCTAGAAAGTATCTTGTGTCACAAAGCTGCACAAACTGCTTATATCAGCCAGGCATAACCGAAGTTTTCTCCAGAATGACATTGAAATATATATAACGCTGCTTTTTAAGCCTCTCAAAGCGGCTAGTTGTTAATTGTTAGACTGGCTAATTTAGTTACCCGATGGAAATAGTGCTTTCCAAGGCTTTTGCCTTGAGTGTTAGCATAACAGAAAGTGGGGCGTACATTCAAAACAATAAATGCATTAAAAAATCATAGTTTCAGTCCAGCATAATTCAAAACCTGATGCTTATTTTTAACAACCTGCATTGCTTCAAACCCAAGTATTTGAAGAATTATCTAATCCCACTTGAGCCTGTCTGAGCACAGAGATAATCTCTTCTGAAAGTCCCTAGTCTCTCTCTCTCCCTTGGGATGCTCTTCCAAGACAAATTTACCCAGCACCCCAATGTTTCTGTTTTTGATACCATTCAAAGATCTTTTCTTTTTCTAAGACCTTTTTAATAGTCTCTTCATAAGTATTGATTTCATGCAAGAATTTCTGCTTGTGGTTTTATTTCTGTGTGCTTTTTATTTTGTAGTCAGTTTTTACTGTCTGGCTAATTTAGTTACTGGTGGAAACAGTGCTTTCCAGAGCACCACCCTGGAGAGAGTTGTGTTGATGGGTAGAATTAAAAAAACAATCCTGTGAAATTTAAAAAGCAAAAGAGTGCTTACCAAGCTACTATCATAATTAAGAAGCCAGTGCCCTAAGGAGAACAAAACAGCTGGCTGAAAGATGCTGATATTTCTGTCTTCGTGTTGGCTTATCTGAGAATGGGACATCCTTTCCACGACAACACGCATACCCATTAAAAAGAGGAAAAGTAAAATCTTTCTTGAGTCATGCTCAGTTCCTAGTGACTATATTGGCCCATCCATGCTCTACAGTAGCTAAATCAACACTAGGAACAGTATTCTTGTAAGCTTCAGGCTCTCTCTTTTCCCTCTAGAAGAACAGCACACTAACTGCCCATAGGAACTACTCAAGTTACAATATGAACATAGATTTTAATTGTGTTACTTATTAATAACTAACCAGAACTGATCAATTATGTCACTTGGATGAAACTGACAATTTCAGCCTGCAGGTTAATGAAGATAAATAAACAATATATGAAACAGATTTTTTTTAAAAGGCAGGCAAGATTGCACCCAAACGTTGCTGTTGCCATGGGATATGTGAAAGCTGTTACAAGCCAAGCCCATAACTTCACTGCTACTCAGACAGCAGCTATATTAAATTCAGTCACACTTTGTGTGACTTGAATGGAACCAAACTCTGGATCTGAAGAACGTGTGTGTGAGAGAGACACACACACACATGCAAAGGGGAGGGAGGGAGGGAGGAGCGAGCGAGCAAGCATTGCAGGGAGTGAAATTTTGGTTCTCGTATGGAGGCATCCTTCTCCTTAAATTGATTCTTCAGCTATAACATTTTGTTTTCAGGCCTTTGGCCAAAGCAGTATGCTATTTTAATTATAGGAACTGTTAAGATATTGTGTTGGTTGCTCTCACACAGATTGAGGTGACTTCACCATCATAAGCTGCATGATTAGGAAGACATTCATGCAGGATGCTTTGAACTCCTGTAAGTCCAATATCACAGTAGGGAACTTTGGAGACTATGAACTCCTCAAGATTCCCAGAGAAAAACATTAAGTTCATGATCATAATGGCAATATTTCAAAGAGCTCAGGAGTGCTGGGGCACACTGCACTCTAGATCTGTGAGATTCCCTCCTTTGTTCCCATTGTTACTCTTCAAGAAATACTTGGAAAAGCCCAGCAAAGAATCTTATGATTTTGTTCAATAGCTGTGACTAGAACATGGTATTTCAGAGGAAGGCAAAATCTTCTCACAGTCCTAGATATGATACGCTTCCTCATTCTGGGATGAAGCTTCCTGTCAGGCTATGAACCTTGACTGCTCCATTACAAAACTGGCATGATTTTCAGCCATTCAGAGTTGACAGGGGGAGTGCACTATAAATTCATGAGTCGACGGTGCTCCATAATGCTTGCAAAGGTGACATCCTCATAGGAAAGAGCTTCTGCTAGCAGACAGAGCCACAAAACTGTGTAGTTACATGGAGCAAGAATTTGTTTTCTCCAAAGGACACTATGAACGGAATTAGAGGAAAGCAAGGCAGTGCAAGAGATGGTGAAGAAAAAGTGTCTACTCTTCACATATGGAGGACACTAGCCCAGCTTTAACAGCTGCACAGCTACTGTAGATCTGTAGATCACTTTGAATGGCGAGCATCCGGTGACATGCCAGCTAGGAATCAGAGACACACAATGCTTCTACTGCATCACTCAAACCCTGATTCACTCCACCTACTGCTAGAAGACAGTTTTTTACCACAATGTTGGAGCAAGCACATCGTGGAGTAGGCATAGGTGGTAGACTTTCCCATTTATTCTTTCCAGGATGAAAGGCCTCAGCTGATTCCAGAACAGTTGGTTGGTTTCCTGCTTAGAGAGAAATATGGCAACAGACAGATAGAAAATGCACAGAATTCCAAAGCCATCAAATGAACATTCTACTGATCACTGATCATGTAGATGTACATTTATATTACATTTAAAAAGCAATTTTAAAAAGAAGTATGTGCGTGTGTGTGTGTGTATGCCTATTTGGGACAAATGTATCCTCTAGGACTGTGTTTTTCAACCTTGGCAACTTTAAGATATGTGGACTTCAACTTCCAGCTAAAGTCCACACATCTTAAAGTTGCCAAGGTTGAAAAACACTGTTGTAGGAACTGTAATTTTTGGATAGATTATTATAGTTTCTTAACTACAGGTAGTCCTCACTTAATGACCACAATTGGGACTGGAATTTCCATCGCTGAACGATGCGGTCATAAAGCGAGATGTCACATGACTGCTTCACTTAGCAACCGCAATCGCAGCACTTCCAGTTGCCATTGTAAACCGAGAATTGCGGGTCATTAAGTGGAGGGAGTCCCAGATAAGGAGGGCAGGGGTGCCTCAGGGTGGTGGGGGAAGCCTTGGGAGGCCTGGCACAGGCAGTGCATGTGTTGGGGGGGTACTACAGTGTGGCACAAAGCTGCAGCCACCCCTGAAAGCCTCAGCTGCCCCAGTCCAGCCCAGCAGTGCTTACAACTGCAGGGGTGCTGCAACTCTCCCCACCTGCCTCTCCCCACATCTATGTCCTTTTGGCTGCCCTGCACAGCGACACTCAGCAGCAGTGCCAGGGCTGGGGCTGAAGTAGATGACCAGGCCTTCAGCAGTCTCAGCCAGCTGCCACTGCCCCAGGCCTCTATGTCAGTCTCAGTGCCACCGCTGCTGAAAAATACTGCCTCAGGCCCCACACCATGGCCAACCACCCCGGCACTATTGTGCAAAGCCCCAGTTGCCCCCACTGCTCTGTGCTCCCCAGGCTCTGTCATGCCCAGCTGACCTTCACCATTTTCCTCCTGCTGCTAACAAGGTGTGCCTGGCCTGACCCTATTGTATGCAAGGCAACTGATGGCTATGCCAGGCCTTCTTCCCGAGGCCATTCGTGCTGTTCTCCAAGCCACTCGTGCCATTCCTTCTTCAAATCATGTGCCCCATTCTCACAATCCTTTGGAAACCTTCTGGTCTTCCCCAGGTCTTGTGAGAACAGGCACGCTACTTGGAGAATGGCAGGTACCCCATTCTCATGGTGCTTCAGAAGACCTCATTCTTCAAATCAGGCACCCCATTCCTTTTCCAAATAGCACGCCTGTGCTGGCAGCTGGCTGAGACTGCTGAAGGCCCTGGGCCTCTACTTCAGCCCCAGCCACACCCCTGTGCCAAATGCCTCTGTGCAGAATGGCCAAAATGGCATAGATGGGGAGGAGATAGGCAGTGGGGGGAGTTGCAGCACCCCTGCGGATGTAAGTGCAGGCAGGCTGCCATGTGCCTGAACTTTGATCATGTGACCATGGGGGCACTGCAACAGCCATAACTTTGGGCACAGGCCATAAGTCCATTTTTTCAGCACTGTCATAATTTTGAACAGTCACTGAATGAATGGTCATTAAGCAAGGACTACCTGTAATGGATTTTGAGCAACCACAGAAAACAAGTTAAATCAGCTGGATTTATAGTGCTATTATTCTCCTATACAGAAAAGAGAATTGATTACATGCCATGCTGAGGACATAGACCAGTTTCAGAAAAAGGTGATTTTTTTCCTCTACTGCTCTGACATGACACAAACACACATACACTTCTTAGCCTTGGATATAGATTTGGTTATGTCTCTCACTCTAGAGAAGAAATTCATTTGTTTTGCACTGTATCACATTCAGAGCTGCACAAATAATTGTGAAATTTGTAGCATTCCTTCAGATAATTAGGCAATCATAACTGTGTATAGTATAAGCTTATAAAGATTTGTGTGGGTTGTATTTTTTCTTCATTTCAATTATTTTTAGTATTTTCATTTTACCTCTCTCCCCCGCCCCCCAATGTCACATAATAAAAACATAATTTTTCAGTTCATTTTGTAAATATGAATATTTTAACTATAATGAGATTTTAGTTCAGCATCACTGAGTCAAATTTGATTCCTGGTAATTGTATGGATAAAAATATGCTTGACATCTGGACTTGTCTTTTGTAATAACGCAAAGGTCTTCTAAGGAGATTCCTGTAGACTCTTTAATCCTATCCATCCATCCATCCATCCATCCATCCATCCATCCATCCATCCATCCATCCATCCATCCATCCATCCATCCATCCATCCATCCATCCATCCATCCATCCATCCATCCATCCATCCATCCATCCATCCATCCATCCATCCATCCATCTTTCCTTTCTTATACTTCCCTCAGCCTTACCCAGCACAATCCTTTTTTTTCTAGTCTATCATCTGCTGCCTTGGACATACTTTGTCCAAAGTATGTGAACTTCTACTCACAGATCATCACCCCAGTTCTCTAACCTGTACTTTCTGGATTTCATACCCAGGAAGGAACTCAGAGAATTCATGATGGCAAAGCTTTGTATTGTCAGGCTAACTGCTTCCCTATTGGCTCCAGAGGCACGGAATGGGGATGGGGTCACTAAGGAGAGGGGGACTCATTAGAGAAGCATTGGAAAGGACAACAGAGTCTCATGGACAGGCCAATCTCTATTTCCAACATAAAGAAAACTACTGTAGAAGTAACGCTTTTAGGAAAATATAGTTCAAGCATGATTTCACTTTTAGGGGATGAAGAAATCCTCACCTAGTCCTCCTGCAACAACCATTCTTCCTTTTAAATAGCCAGCAATGAAATCTGCCCGTCGTTTCTTCAGAAAAAATGAGCGTTCAATCTTCATCCAGCCCCCTGAAAATTAACCCGATTCGTTATGAAATGATCATGACTTTTTCATAGCTAATACAATGCTCATATTCCCCCCTTTTTACCTGTCTTACCTGTTTGGTGCAGACATAAGCACCAAGCCTTTCAACTGTACTCCCTCCCTTTGCCATTGTAATTTCTGCAGAATGCAATGTTGTACATATATATATGGGCATTGCTTTCTGGGGAAATTATTATAGTAATGTGGTTGGTCCAGCAATGTAGGGATCCTGCTCAGTCAGCACCCCTGAATATACACTATTACTGGGGAGATTCTGCTCCTTTGAGGTAGGCCTGAGGAAAAATACCAGCTTGCTGTTCACAGTAAGATGATAAATTGCTTTGTTTCTCTGCAGACTCATCCCTTCCATTAAGTTAAACCTGACTTCTGGACTCATGATTTTCACAGAAAGATTTTATATCTGTATTTTAAAGCTTAATAAAAATTCAGGAGCAATTGGCAATACAACTGGAACAGCAAGTTTTCTGGCACATGGAGAAACTATTTTTGGTATAAATATGATTCTTGAAGTCCTTGAGGGGGCAGTCACCAGACTGAATAAAAATGTTTGCTACTTAAACTCTTACATTTGCTATCACATTAAGTAATGAAGATGTTACAATGCAAACACTTAGATTGAAAACATAATTTAGATGATGGGCTTCTTGAATATTTAGGGATCAGTATATAACTTAATTCAATAGAGTTGCAAAATCAAAAGCAGCTGTCCAGAGTTTTTACTATATTACATCCTTTCCTCTAATTCCCCTATTATGTCATAGATGCACAAGTGGGCTGCTTTTCACCTTTGTGTGTCTTGCTAAAGACAAGTGAATGGAGCCAGGATGGAAGTACATTTTATTCTAATTAAAATTAATGTTAAATACAGTTGATACGTTTATTCTTCATATATTTAATAATTTTCCCTTCTGCCCAGTTCGGAATGACAATTTGATAATGGCAGTTTGGCAGCAAATCCTGAAAGATCATTAGGATAGATCCAAAAATTTGTAGAGGTTAAATGCAAGCCAAGGTACACAGGTTGTGCATTCCATTGTAAGGCTTGGGTAGGCAACCCTCAGTTCATTAGGTACATGCAATCACTTTTTATGCCTCCAGAGCCTCCCAAAATTGCATTGCTGAATTTACATGGCAAACCACAGAGAAATAGAGGCATCATTTTTCTACCAAAAAGAAAAAAAAATTAAATATAAAGGGTAATCTTTCAAAAAGGGATGGTAATCAGAAATCCTGTCCAGTCTATTTCTGGTACATGAGCACATCGCCAGCACACCTATTGTGGTCCCTGTTTGTCCAAAAAGCAAGTTATAAAAAGTGTGTTATCAAAAGGTTGTTCTCCCCTGTGTCAACCTAGGCACATTGGAATTTGGAGGGCAGTCCCAGAAGAACTCACCTTGCTCAATATCAAAGATGTCCACATTTTTCATAAACTTGGGCTGACGGTACAATCTGCCTTGCCGCAATCCCCCAAGGCTAAAGATGTTGTTCTCTGTGCAAACAAAGGTGGAGAAAGCCCTTTTGCTGGGAATATTGGGGAATTTGGTCCAAGATCTGGTCTCAGTGTCAAAGACTTCAAAGGCATTCACAGCATATTTGGACTGCCTTCCACCTTCAGTGAAGAAAAGCATATACTGTAGTGAAAAGCCAGCTTGGACTCAGCAACATTATCATTTTGATGATTCAGCAAGAATTAGGGAATGGGAACTGAGGAAAAGCAGGTAAAGAGATGCTATCACAAGTGAGGGGAAAGGAATTCTCTGGGCTACTGAAAGACCAACTCAGTTTTATGTCCTTTTCTTCATCATCTTATTAGGAAATAGCAAGAACTGGCTACCAATGAAAATATTGGAAAAATAATTACCCCTCATTAAGGAATTTTCTCTGTAAGGTTTGACCATTCCTGGCTGGTCACTCAGCTGAACAGATTTTTCTGCTACTTCTTCAACATTTCTATTATAAAGAAATCACTTGGCTCAGCTGGTTATTATGATTACTCTTAGACTGTTTTTTAAGTTTATAAATCAGACAACCAAACTTCTCTCTGTCTGTATATTTGGCAAAAAGTGTGCTATGTTGTAGGATAATAATTTATTCCATAGATGTCCTGTCAGTAATTCTTCAAAAGGATTGTGTATTTTCTTCAGGTTATAGTTATGCTCATTAGGTATGTCATAATAGTTTCCATCCATCTGTCCATTTTGTACTATTACATTTTGCATCAGCAGCATTTTAATCTTTTATAATATACCAAATTTATTTTCTGATCTTTTGGGGGATGCTGATGGTGGTGTCATTCTTTTATATTTACAGTTAGCTGTGACCAAAATGATTATCAAGACATGATGGGAAATTGCTCCCCTAACAGAACTGGAGCCAAAAGGGAGCAATAAAAAGTAAGAAATGAGAGGTAGCTGTCAGAACATCTGGGAGGATCTTGAAATTTGTACAAAGTATACATACTTTAAAATAATCCAAGGAGGATGAAGCATGCTCATTAGCTGCAGCATGAATTCTGAACAAAAGCACTCGTGGTTAGAAGAGCCTTTTACTGTAAGTTCGATTTATGTAACTGCTTTAGTAATTTTTCTTAAGTTCACCTCCTCTCCTATCACTCTTGTTCTCCCCTTGCAGGAAGCTTGATGAGTATAGTTTGCATCATCTAAAGCAGGGTTCCTCAACCTTAGCAACTTTAAGATGGGTGGACTTAAACTCCCATGCTGCCTGGGGAATTGTGGGAGTTGAAGTCCACCCATCTTAAAGTTGTTAAATTTTAAAAAGACTGATCTAAAGTAATTTCTCTTACATGCATATATCTACCCATGCTTCAGTACTCTGACAGTACTTTTAAAACTAAACTTTGTATCGAAAAAAACACGTTTAAGTATTTATTTACCATCTGAATTATTTTATATATGCCATATAATGACAATAATTCTTAACATAATGGCATCATTTAACAAAGGTTCATAAAATAAAGCTTGTGCAAGATCACAATTTTGCTCAGCACAACAGATGTGATCTTGCACAAGCAACCTACAAAGAGAACAGCAAACTGGAGAATACAGTACAACAGTGAATATCAACATACGGAATTCCACAGGCCACTTATAACACTTCCTAGACTTTAAAGGTAACAATGAGGCATTACAAACAATGTCCAGCTGCTGATACTGAACTCTAGGATACTATGGTCTGAGTTGATGAGACGCTTTTATGAATGGATGAGGCAGTTGTCTCAGGTGGAGAATGAGAAGATTCAGTTCAGTCAACCAGCAATTCAATCTAGCTATCTCCATGTGAACAACCATTCACATATACATTTGCACAAATACTGCAATTAGACTTTCATGCAGTCAGTGAAGGCTATTTTAAAAACCTCACAATATTTATTTATTTATTTATATTAGAGGGTACTATTATGAATGGGATGGCTATCACAGCCTTGTACTACTGTGCAACAAAGTTAGCCTCATCAGCAATATACCTTTTCCTTAAAAATTGTCTCCTTGCACTACAAAGGAGGCTTACCCAGAACATAGATCTTGGTGCCCCGCAGAAAGGAGGTGGCAGCATACCTGGGTGTTGGCATGGTTGCCAAGGACACCCAAATGTCCTTAAGCATATCATAATGTTGCATATAATTGTGAGGACGTAGATCTGCTCCCATTCCACCAGCTGCGTAGATTCGGTAGTCTGGAAAAACAGGAAGGGAAAAGGAGACAAAATCCCAGCCATGATATCAGGGTTAGATTTTCAGCAGCTCAGGATAAGTTTGCCCCACTGTGTATGTGGAGATTTAAGTGCAAAGTCTGCAGGCAGAAACACATCTGAGTTGTAATCCATGCACTTACATGTAAAATCAAAATAATCCCTGAATGGAAACACATTCATTATTGTTATCATTTTATCATGCCTATATTTTAAAAGCAGTCAGAACAGCTTTAAAAATTAAAACAGCAATAAAACACACAATAAATATAAGCAATACTAAAAGTAGCAGTACCTTTTAATAAGCAGTTATTAAAAAAAACTGAAGCAAATTAATTAATGTTCAAGTCATAAAGGGGAAAAAAAACCTGAATGTAAAAGTTGAAGAGAAAAGCCAGGGAAAATTTCTATTTGGAGGGTATTCTCTCACAATGGTGTTGAAAAGGCCCATTTTCCAATTACAGTAGTTCTCACAAAAATATGATCTCTGAAATGGGGGTTGGTTCATATGATAACAATCCTAGTGCAAAAGCACAGTGTCAGCGAAGCACCATTTCTTTTCTGTACAGGCAATAGATGCACACACACCCTACACCAGTCTGGATGAGGACCAGAACAGGGGACAAAGATTAAAGTCCCTTTCCCCATCAGCATCCCAATTCTCACTGGGCCTGCTATTCACATTTTAATATTCACATACGCTCATTCACAAAACTGAAAATTACATGAATGGCATCACATTTAGATAGGTCCAGACACAACACAAACTTTATAGCTTTAAAAATTAAAGTGGGTGTTGCAGCTATGGAAAGCTACTGTTAGATTGTACTAGGAGGCACCAATCTCAAGCTTATCTTCCATGGCTTCTAACACCCCCAAGCAAGGCAGGTGGTCCAGTCAAGACTTTTGTTATGGGCCACTTGGGTGGAATGTGAGAGGGGCAGCAAGCTGAACAGGTCAGATGATGCCTTTGGGGCTATACAAGCAAGGAGAATGCTATCTTAGGAAGGATAGACATAGACTTTAAATTAAAATGTCCCATAGTCAAAACCTGGGTCTGTCGGAATAGAAAGTCATAAACATCTCTGGGCCTGTTCAAAATTGAACTTGTTTTCCCCATGGAGGTGGAGGTAAGGGGCAAAATGTGTTTCCTAAGCCTACCTTTGTTCCTTTAAAAAATGCAAAGCTCCAGAAAAATAGTTTGAATGTTAAACCATGCACCAGCAGGCAACAGTCCATCCAACCAGCAAGGAAGGAGAGACCACAAAGGGTTGTCACCGTAACTTCCAGGTTAAAAACAAAATGGGTTGATGGTAGAGTATTGCAAAGAGATGGTGATGTTGGGATCCTCAGAAGGTACCGGGCCCTTTAAACTTGTTAGGATCTATGTATCCATAAAGTCATAAAGCTAGAAGGGTTCCATAGATCATATAGCCTGACCACTGCTTTAAGGGAAAAACTTCCATCGAGTTATTCTGTTACAAATGTATTTATGACCTTAGTCCGGCTGATAGAGTTGCTCACATGCAGAGCAGCCCTGATAAACTGGCATTCATTGAACTTAGCCAAATTCCAACAAATACTTCTTCCCTAAGTCATGTCTCTCCCGCAGTCAAGCTCCCATTTAAGCAGGCAACTGCTTGTTTGGGAAAAGTGAGGCTTCTGGCTTTCTATTTCATAACAGCAGTTTGTTATGTTCCATTGCAAACATAAACCTGAAATGATTCAAGTTTTCAAAAGCAGGTTGTAAAGTGAGGGTAAAGATACTGAAAGGAAAAAAGGTTGATGCTTGACTGCACACACTCACCTTCTGATATAAATTCCGACTGAGTGATCATAGCCCCATGCTTTGCAAAAGCCTTCAGTCTGCCACATGCTCTAGAAAGCACTGATTTACCTGTCCTTTGAGAGCTATAAAAACTTCAGCAAACAAAACAGAATAAACAACTTCTTCCATATTTGGCAGGGATACAAAACGTGCCTGGCTGTGTGTGTGTTTTAAAAAAAGAAGAAAAGATCAGGCCACCCTCCAATTGCAAGACAGACTTCACAGAGAGTTCTAGGCCAGATGGTTGAAAACCACCTAAACCCAACCAGAGCAATTCATTGGTGGTGATTCCAACAATTCAGGTGAAAGGGTCAATGTCAGGAAATAAAAGAAATTAATTAATAGTCCCTTGCTAACTAGACTAGGCCTCTGAATAGGAAAAAAAAAATCCATTCATCCCACCAATTATAAACAGAAATATACTCAAGGACAGGGTACTTCCCTCAAAGCCAACGTTGTTTCCACCAGATACTTTAATTAAAAAAAAGGTTTCTTGCCTTTTACTGTCACAGAGATGCCCATTGAGGCTTCTCTTAAAGAGTTTCTTTTCTTCCACTTGCCCTCATCTATGTTGTACATCTCCACAATCTTCAAAGGCATCTGGTGGGCTCCAACACCTCCAATCACCATTATCCTCTTGCCCAGTGTAGCTACTGCGACCCCAGCCCTGGCTGTAGGCATTGGAGGCAGAGAATTCCATTGATTTGCTTCTGGGGAGTACACTTCAAAGCAATCCATTGGGGCACCATTGTCATCACAGCCCCCGATAGCAAACACCTGTCCACCAGCCTCTACCAGGGAAGAATAGACTCTTGGACTGGGCAAAGGTGCTAGAGTTTTCCACTGAAAGTCCTTGATGCTTGGCACTTCCATCTCAGGGACAGGGAAACATCTGCTTAATAATCCATGTATACTGCAGCAAAACATAACAAAGACACAGCAAACAAGAATGTTCAAACATAGGGAAGTGGTTCAGAAATGCAGACTTCAAGTGGCTTGAGAATTTCAAGGATATATTTCTATGTCCTGCAACAGCTCAGGGGTGAATTTTCTACCATCTCTAGCCTAGGGCCTGTCAAATATGTTGGACTGCAACTCCTATTACCTCTGGGTATTATGCTGATTGTAGGATGGGACTTGTAGTTCAATCAATCTGGAGGGCTTTAGGTCAAGAGGAGGTTGTCCCCTCTGTTCTACAGACACACAAAATAGCTTTCATACCTTTTATGGGGTCTTCTCGGTTAATCCTCCATTCCACCTCTGCTGGATACTGAATCCTAAATAATAAAATAGATTAAATTTACTCTTTCATTCTTGCATCCCCAAAATGCCATTCAGGTCAGAGTCTCTTTCCTGCTTTGAAGATTTTCCTTCAGTCAACTTTGCTTTCCTCTTGGGCCCCTCCTTCAAAGCCCCTTTTGTCTGTCCTCCTGGTCCATTTACATCTACCCCATCGCCCATAAATTGTTGCTGCCTCACGCAGCAGAGCGCTGAGCTGTAAGCGCCAGGAAACAGCCCACTAATTAGGGCACAAAGTTGCAAACTCCTATTACAAGCAAAGGGATTATTTTTGCGGTCTTGCTCTGAGCAGCTGACAAATATGTAAATGAGGTTGGGGAGAAACGGAGCCGGCCGCTTACCACACGCAGCAGCTGCTCCGTCCTCCCCACGTGAACCTAAGCAGGCTCAGGCGGAAGGCTTTCTTCCGAGACAGGGTTGTTTTTTCTTTGGGATGGAGGTCATTCAGTTGCCTTCAAGAAATGAGCCTATGTATGGATATAGTTGAGGTTTCCACCAAGTTGGCATGCAACTGTGCTTGCAGGTAGGGCAAAGGAAAGGCTCCGCACGTGTAACACAGAAAAAAAATGGGTAAAATCTAGAACAGAAGCTCAAACAGATGATGGAAAAACAAGGACAGCAGTGAGGCATTTTTAGAAAGACAGCCCTGTTAGTCTGTGGCAGCAATACCTAATCCCTGGCTTCTTAGACAACACATTTATTATGCCATACAGTCCTGGAGTAGAGCTCATTTCATCCGATGAAGTGGACTGGTTTATACCAGAATAAGCATTGGCCCAGATTGTATTGTTACTCTACATCCAAGGATCACACAATGGCTTACAAGACAAGCAATAAAATGCCACAAGAGTTTTATATGTCTTCAAAAATGAGAAGATAGGTTGGCATGTGCTTGATCGTTTTTGGCTGATGCTAACAAATGAATTAGTCAAGTGCTCCAGTTCTTCTGTTTTGCAAAGGGAATATTGTCTAACTGTAAAACTAATTGCAGGATGCATAGAAGAATTCATTTTAATTTCTAGTAAGCTGCAACCAAATTACTTTCTGATAAAAGTGTGTTCTGTGCTTGCTGTTTGGCCACACCCAGCAAGAGAACCATTTTACAAGAATGCCCATAACATGATCTCAACATGTGTTACTGTGCTGACTATAATGTGCCTACTGGCCCCAAATGCTCATTTGTCCTTGTTTTAGGGTAGTGTTGTCCAAACTTGGCCACTTTAAGATGAGTGGACTTCAACTCCCAGAATTCCCCAGCCACCCATGCTGGCTGGGGAATTC